TGGGTGCTGGGCGCAGTGAGTGAAAGCGGTGGAGCCGGTGGGGTCTGGGGGCCGTGCGGGCTATCGATAGCGTGCGGCAAGATCCCTGCCATGTCAAAAAGTTTCGAGGCCGAAAATGTGAAATGTCGCAGCGCAGCGCAGTCAACTAGAAACAACCACGCCCGTCATGTCGCTCGAGGAGAGACTGACCAAGATCCGGGACAGCCCGAAGCTGCAGGGCCAGCAGCACGTATGTCACGACATTCCTTTCCTGCGCCGTTGTAGCCTAACCATTCCAGACGCATGTGCTGCTCTCGGCCATTGAAGACACGCTCCGCCAGCAGAAGTCAGAGTTCACCCCGACGGCCTACTTTGCCGCCCTGCTGTCGCTGCTGGGCCGCCAGATCACCGAGCAGGGCATCGCCAACAAGGAAACCGCGACTGCCACCATCTACCTCCTCGACCTCGTCACCCCCAACGTCCCCGCCCCGCTGCTGCGAAGCAAGTTCACCGACATCCTCACCAACCTCGCCCCCGCCCTCACAGCCCAGGACGCCGATGCGCCGCTGATCCGGTCTTCGATAGGATGTCTCGAGTCGTTGCTGGTCGTGCAGGATGCGCGCGCCTGGGAGCTGCCGCAGACGACCATCAGCCCGCGCAGAGCCGTCGCGGGTCTGCTGCAGATCTCCGTCGACCACAGGCCGAAAGTGCGGAAGCGGGCGCAGGAGGCACTGAAGAAAGTGCTGGCGAACCCGCCGCCGAGCCCTGCGCTGGACCACCCGGCAGCCGACATGTGCGCTGAGACAGCCCAGAAGATGCTCAAGGACATCGCAGCAGAGGCGGCCGCCAAGGCGCGGAAACACAAGGGAAAGAAGGACGTGGATAACAAGGACCCCGATCTGATCCACGCGCTGCAGCTCATCAAGACGATTGCGACGTCGTCTGGTGGCTGGCCGAGCAGCAAGATCGACGTGCTGTGCGAGCTGTTGCTGAACATCTCCAAGTCGACCAACGAATTCTTGACCATGGCCGCTTTCGAGATTTTCGAGGTCATCTTCGCCGGCATGGCCGACGAACTGGCTTCTGCCAAGCTTCCCAGGCTCCTCGAGGTCATCTCCGAACTACAGCCCTCCAAGAACGACTCACAGCTACTTCCCCCGTGGATAGCAGTCATCTCGCGCGGATACGAAGTCTCGGCGCAAATTGAACCAGAGGAAACATTCATGAAGCTACCCGACCTATTCACCATGATCGCCGAGTTCCTCACGTCCTCGTCGCACAACATCCGCATTTCCGCCTCCGAGTGCCTCATCTCCTTCCTCGTAAACCTCGTACCCGACAGCGTCGTCCTCGAGCCCTCCGTATACGATGAGAAGACACTTGAGAAGGTGGCCAAGATTGCGCAAGATCTATTGAGCGTCAAATACCAGGCGGCGTGGATGGAGGTCTTCAGCGTGCTATCTGCCATGTTTGAGACTCTCAGGTGGCGCTCAGACCCCATTCTGAAGCCTGTGTTGAAGGTGGTTGGAGATTTGAGGGGTAATGACAGCTTTGCAGGCAAGAAGGAGGCGGACTCGGTCATCTCAAGAGCCATTAGCGCAATGGGCCCTGATGTTGTATTGGACATTCTTCCTCTGAACCTGCCACGCCCACCCCCAGGGCAAACCGGAAGAGTTTGGATGCTGCCGCTTCTCCGCGATTCAGTCCACAACACCAAGCTGGCGCATTTCAGGACCGAGATGGTGCCGTTGAGCGAGGAGTTGTACCAGAAAGTTATTGATCACGGCGACAAAGAGAAGACAATGGAGATCAAAGTGTTCGAGACAGTTGTACAGCAGATTTGGTCGATTCTTCCCGGATACTGCGATCTGCCTTTGGACCTGGTTGAGGCTTTCGACCAGAGCTTCTGCGAAATGCTAGCAAACTTGCTCTACGGTCAGGCTGATCTACGAACGGACGTCTGCAGGGCTCTCCAGAACTTGGTCGATAGCAACAAGGCGATCGTCGAGTTGGAGTCTGACGATGATCTGCTCGCACAAGCCCGGATATCCAAGGCCGACGCAAAGAAGAACCTTGAGCATCTAGCCGGTTTCGCCAGCAACATGCTCGCAGTACTGTTCAACGTCTACAGCCAGACTCTGCCGCAGTATCGCGGCACTATCCTCCGGACCATCAACGCTTACCTGAGCATTATTCCTGAGCGCGAGCTCATGGAGACCTTTGAGCGAGTTGCATCTAACCTTGAGGCTTCTTTGCCCGAGCCTGGCTCGCAGACGCAGGCTGCTAAGCAGAAGCAGGAGACGGGCCCCAACAAGATGCCGCCAATGAGCCACACCCTGATGGATCTCATCATTACGATCGCCCTATACCTCCCACGTGATAGTTACCGCTCGCTCTTCCGCATGGCTGAGATCATGATCAACAGAGAGAACGAGCCCCAGCTGCAGAAGAAGGCATACAAGCTCATTCCTCGTCTTGCGGAGTCCGAGATGGGCAAGGAAGCTTTGAAGGAGCGCAACGGTGAATTGCAACAGTTGTTGCTAGGAAGCGCGGAGAAGGCTTCTGCTCCTGCGCGACGCGACAGACTCAACGCGCTATTCCAAGTCATCGAATCCCTCCCTCAGAGCGATCTGCATTTCATCCCCGCCATTCTCTCCGAGGTAGTAATTTCAGCCAAGGAGACGAACGAGAAGGCGCGAGAGGCAGCTTACAACCTGCTTGTCGCTATGGGTGAGAAGATGGCCGAAGGAGGTCAGGTTGTGCAAGCCAAGGTACCCAACATGCCCGCCGATGCGCCAACTGTTGAGGCCTCGCTTGAAGAGTACTTCACCATGGTGTCGGCTGGTCTGGCTGCTACTACACCTCATATGATCTCTGCATCCATCACCGCCGTCACTCGCATCCTCTACCAGTTCCACGCTCAGATCTCTAAGGAGTCCATCACCCAACTCTGCGACCTCATGGACATCTTCCTCCAGAACCCCAATCGCGAGATCGTACGCAGTGTTCTCGGCTTCGTCAAGGTCGAGGTTATCACGCTACCAGAATCGCTTGTACGACCACGTCTCAACACCTTGCTAAAGAGCCTTATGGTCTGGAGTCACGAACACAAGGCGCACTTCAAAGCCAAGGTCAAGCATATCGTCGAAAGAATGGTCCGGAAGTTTGGTGTAGAAGAAGTCGAGCGCGCCACACCTGCCGAAGACCGCAAGCTCATCACCAACATCCGTAAGACACGCGAACAGCGCAAGAAGAAGAAGCAACAAGCTACAGAGGATGGTGAAGAGGTCACCGAAAAGCGAAAGGGCAAGTTTGAGAGCGAGTACGACCAGGCTGTTTACGGTAGTGAAAGCGAAGAGAGCGACGGCGACTCTGAGGACGAATTCGTCAAGAGCCAGAGCAAGCAACAGCGGGGAGGCGCAAAGGGCGGTAACACATACATCATCGAAGACGAGGACGAGCCGCTTGATCTCCTCTCTAAGAACGCTCTTGGTAACATCTCCTCAACGAAACCCCTGCGCCAACGCAAACAGCCACAGAAGATGAACGCCCGCACAAACGAGGATGGCAAGCTCATCATTGGCGACGAGGACGAGGAAGCCCCGACAAAGGGCAAGAAGTCCAAGAAGCACGAAGTACCTGACGAAGACGTCCTCATGGACATCGACGACCAAAACACATCTCTCGAAGCCGGCATCAACGCCTACGTAGACGCCATCCGCGGTCGCGACACCGCCCAGCAAGGTCAGAAAGGCCGTCTCAAGTTCAGCAACAAGCGCACACACGAAGACGACGAAATGGACATGGATGACGACGGCGGCGAAGCTGATTGGCAAGAAGTGCGAAAGGCGAAATCCGGCTCTGGAATGGGTAGGGGTGGTGTGAAGAGCGGCGGCGCCGGCCAAAAGAGCCAGCGGCGTGGCCTAGGTCAGGAACGCACAAGGGGCGGTAATGTCAGCGGTGGAGAAGGAAGGGGAGGTAAAGGCAGAGTCGAGAAGATGAGGAGTCCACGTGGTAGAGGCGGTGCTCGTGGTGGTGGTGGGTTTAGAGGGAGGGGGAATGGCCCTAGTGGGAAGTGGAGTGGGCCGAAGTAGGTGGGATGAGCAGATGCATTTATGGTAGTAGTATGTATGGTAAAAAGGGAGAGGCGTTGAGGTGTCGTCACGTTGTTTTATGTAGTCTTGATATCCGAGTGAATGTAGATATCCATTTCGCTGCTTAGTGCACTCCAGGAACCGACATGAACGTGTCCGGCACATTCCACACAGACTCGGTCATCGGTAATCTCGGAGTGCGAAATGATCGTCTCTACCGACCTGTACGGGGCAGATCAAACGATGGCCCAGCGACACCGAATGTGGCCCACGTAAAGCATCGTACATCGTTATGCACAGAGTCGGCGGATCTTGTTGTGTTGCCGACTCGCAATAAAGTTGGGGACACGACAGGGTATATCATCGGCACACTCTCTCCACTTGCCGAACCTCCAGACGCTACCGCGGCGTCAGCCCTATCATCGTGGTGAAAGCTAGCTACACTTGTCTCATTCCCTCTCGTTTCAACACAAGCGCTTTTGCCTCCCTGCTGAGCGTGGGTAAAACACTGTGGAGAAGCGTGTTATGAATTTGCTGTGGTTGGTGTGTGTCTTGCGTTGTATTCCCTTTCGGTGTGATCAGTCATCAAATACTGGGATGTGCGTAGTATGCTTGCCGTATACACACCGCTGTCCGGGGTCGAGGTGGGAGGTATAGCGATGTCTGGGGAGCTGTCGGCAGATGTGGTTGTGGAGAAGGCATGTGTGGTGGATCACACGATGGTGTTGGCTATGCTGTGATGGGTTGTAGGGATGGGTATGTATGGAGGAGAGATCTACGTGTGGGTAAATGTTTACCTGGTGGCTGTATAAAAGCTGTCCTACCGGCTTCTACTGGATATTCCCTGACATATTTCCGACCGGCCTACTGTTGTGCTTCATACGCAGCTCTCGTCAAACTACAAACCTTTCAACGTCAATGTCCAACATGGCGACGACAACCGCCCCAACCCTGTCCCGCAACGACTCCATCATGCCACCTCCCTCTCCTCCCCTCAAACCAGCAATCCACCGCACCAAGCTCCCCCGCGTCTCCCTCCCTGCCGGAGCACCAACACCCTACCTCCTCCCCTCTCACACAGGCGAACACCTCACAATCCCCGGCACAAAAGCCGTCTTCCGCATTCTCTGCTCCGCCGCCGAAACGAACAACACCATGAGCGTCTTCGGCCAAGACGGCGTCCTATCCGACCCCCCAGGCTTCCACTACCACAACCACGCCCACGACGTCTTCATGTGCACAAAAGGACGGTTGAAGATCTGGGCTGGAGATAAATGCCGCATACTTTACCCAGGAGACTTTGCCTACGTGCCACCTGGTGTGGTGCACCAGCCGCAGTTACTGGATCAAGGACCTAATGAATCGATGGGTCTTGTGACACCGGGCGACTGGGTTGATTTCTTCCGGTTCGTGGGAGAAGACTATGGCGGTGTGCTGTGTGATGAGTTTGACGATAGGAATACGGGTGCTGTTTTTGGACCTAAGATACGCGAGATCAAAGAACGTTTCGATGTGGTCTTCCAACCGCAGTTCCAGGGCGCAGAGGTGGCGGATTTTGAGGAGGGGGAGTGCGTATTACCAGAGGGTCAGGAAGCATATTTCCTCAAAGCGAACACTGGACCGTGTTTCTTACTCGAGGGTGTGTTATCCAGGCCTTTTATCACCATGCAGCAGAGCAAAGGGCCGTCGGGCAACTTTGCCATCACGAGTATTGAGTCTGGGAGCGAGTTGAAGAATTCGGTGTTGAGTAAGGGGGTTGTTTTTGAAAAAGTACATCAGGTGTACTATGTACTCGATGGGGCGCTTTCGCTCACGGTGGACGGCGAGGCAGGGCATCTGGTCCGGGCGGGTGAGACGGCATTTATACCAGCTGGGACGGAGGTGGCGGTGGAGTTTGTGGATCGCTATGTGAGGTTCTGGTCGTATGCTAGTGGAAGTGGGCTGGAGACGTTGATTGCAGAAGCTGGGGGCGCTTTCGAGGGGAAGGTGGTTCCGGATCAGACGAGGAGTGTGGATGTGGAGAAGGTGCGGGAAGTCGCGAAGAAGCTGAGAGTGAAGATTAGTGTATAGCTTTTGTCATAGTTTTGCCTTATGTTTGACCCAGAAGTCTACGTTCCCTTGATATCTCGTCGAGCTTCGTTCTCACGACTATTGTAGACTGCAGGGCACCTGTGCAGTCGTTTGTGTACGCGGTGGGAGCGACGCGGAAGGCGCGAACTTGGAGAGCGATCGGCGTGCCGAGGCCCACCACGCGCCCTGCGTCATCGATCGTGGGTGACGCGCCCGCGTTCTTCTCAACTGGAAGGAACCAAGCGTTGCGCACCACAGCCGGGCCAACACCCTACCAAAAGCAACTGCAAGTATGCCGACGCATATACTCAAGAGATACGGAGTGTTGGGGCAAGAACTGCGACCCACTCTTGGGCAGGAACGAGCGTTTGAGAGTCTCACCGCCCGAGCCGTGTTGTCATCGAGCGTCAACGAAGATGACTTTCTCTGATCATCCTCGCTCTTTCGCATAACACACGTCAACATTCTTCTCCCGGGCCACGATGCCTTCGCGGTCGCAATGGGTTGCCTTGACAGCAACCATCGTGGCCGTAGTATCGATCGCGCAGAGCATGTATCCGAATTTGGTTCTCTCTGCGCTCGGCCTAACCACATGCCCTTCATCATGCCGATCAAACATCGAAGTATCTCGATCCAAATATCTTGGCGATGGCTGCGCCGATAAGCCTTACAGTTCGAGCTGGGATAGTTGGTTTCATCCTCAGCGAAGCGATGGCGTGGAGATCGACCACGGCCTCGGTGCAGGAGCTGTAACAAAAGCTTGGAATATCTTGTACCATCTCGGTGGAAATGGGCCATGGGTGGAAAAGATCATCGATGTCGTTGACGGAGGTGTTGCTCCGCCGGAGGGATGCGAGGTGGTCCAGGTCCACATGATGTCTAGGCATGCTGAGCGCTATCCTACCAAGAAAGCGGGTAGGAAGCAGAAAGCAGTCGTTCAGCGCATGAAAGACAGTAACAAGAATTTTGAGGGCGATTTGGCATTCTTCAATAATTGGGAGCTCTTCTGGTCTTCAGACGATACCCAGCTGGAGCAATTGACAACTACTGGGCCTTTCGCGGGTATACTTTCCTCTTTCACCACCGGCATTCGTCTGCGTACACGTTACCAGCATCTTCTGGAGCAAGCTGATTTCACCCCTACCAGCAAGCCTACCACATTCTGGGCTAGCGACTCCAATCGTGTTATCGAGACAGCTAAGCACTTCGCCGCAGGCTTCTTCGGCATCGACTATAACACTAGCAATACAGCTACCCTTCAGGTCATATCCGAACATTCTTCGATTGGTGCAGATACTCTAACACCCGGACGAACATGTCTGGCCAACAAGAAAGACAAAGCAGAAGGCCAACAGAAGGGCTATCGTCTGATGCACGAGTACCGGGCCACATATATGCCTGCCATCCGCGAACGATTATTGAACCAGACAGGCATGAGCTTTGACGACCACGAGATCTACGCTATGCAGGAGATGTGCGGTTTCGAGACGACAGTACGCGGTCGCAGTGACTGGTGTGACGTCTTCACTCGAGACGAGTTCCTCAGCTTTGAATATGCGCGAGACATACTGCATTATTATCGCGCAGGCCCAGGTCAGAAGTACGCCACAAGTATGGGGTGGCTGTGGCTTAATGCTACGACGAACCTGCTACTTGAGGGCCCAAGCGCTGGCCCATTGTTCTTCAGCTTGTGAGTCTTTCTTCGAACCATGCAGGCTACAAACCATTGGAGCGAGCAAAACTGATTCAAGATTAGTGTTCATGACGGTGACATAGCGCCGCTCATGACTGCGCTCGATGTCATCAATGACCGTGAACATCTTCCCATCACTCACATCGCCCATGACCGCAAGTGGCGGAAGTCTCAGGTGTCGCCGATGGGCGGCCGTATCATCTTCGAGCTGCTATCCTGCAAGACCAAACGCGAAGCATCACCTGAGAAGTTCGTCAGACTCAATATCAACGACGGCATTACCGCTATACCGGGCTGCGATAATGGCCCCGGAAAGAGTTGTCCACTGGCAGATTTTGCCGAGAGAACCAAAAAGAAGGGAGAGGAAGCTGGGAACTTCAACGAGTTGTGTGGGCTGGGCGATGATGCTGCGGAATACATCACTTTCTTGCATCAGTGACAGGCAGGGCGTAGTGCGATGTAAACATTTTTGAAGCAGTGCAAGCATCTGGAGCACGTGAATTTGCTCTTTGATACTATTGGCCATCTGGACTAAGCATATACGTAGCAGAACGGCCCTGCAATCGTGCTCATAGCGTCCTTGATGGTGATGTTCGGTGAACCGACATACCCCACGCTGAGCACGTCATCAAGAGTGGCATTGCGGCTCGGTGGGTTATCCAGAAAGGTCATGGTACCGGCGATGCTGTTTTGCCGTCTTTTCAAATCGAGGTTCTGCCATGTCCACCAAACGCGATCGATCATGCCGTGGTGGAAATAGAATGCCGGGTCTGCTGGGGAGTTGAACCTGCGCTTCAGTCAGTACAGATCTCATGCTACCGATGATGGTCAGGCAGAGTGCAGCATACATATCCATTCCAGAGTCACCTCCGATCGTGTAATGTCCTCCATTGTGAACGCCCATAACCCCTTGAGTGAAGTTCTGCATCTTGTTCTGGAAGCTAAGGATATCAGGGTAGTTTTTGATCAGGTCTACGACCATCTCATCTCGTGTCTCGTTCGACGCTTGTGTGCTGATATCGCGACTTAGGCAGCGAGGATTGTAGCCGAGGCCATCGGCCTGCGGGTTCGGTGGGGCGTCTTTCACTGTCGTTTGGATAGGGCCTAGGTTGATCTTCCAGCTGCTTCAATTAGCTGATTGTCGACCTAGTTCAAATTCGATCAACGTACTCTTTGAAAGGCCCAGACTTGATGCAGCCTCCACCATTGGCAGAGTGGAAAGTGACCATGCAGCGCGCTTCATTCGGGATGCACCAGGATCCTCGTCCAGCAACATATTCGCCGTCACCGGAAATACTGGTCTTGCTGCCGTCGAAGAGAGGTGATGAGAGCGGGTCTTCTGCCCACTTGGACCAGTTATTGTATGGGAGATAGCCTTTGTAGCCACACTCGTTGCGAAGAGCTTGTTCGTAAACCCAGATGTAGTAGCGATGCCAACTCAGGAAGTTCCCCTGGTCTACGTCAGTCGACCTCAGCTGGTTATGCATTCCCAGCCTACCGTGCCATGAATGCTCATTGTTTGCAGAATGTGCGTGACGATGAAGTCGTCAAATCGGCTTTTTGCGCCCGAGGCTATCGCCGCTGGCGTTTTCGCTGGCTTTTTGCCTAGGCATTTGACCGCATCGATATAGTTGAGCTTCTGGTCCTCGGATAAAGTAGACCTAAATTCGAATGAGTCGAGTTATCGCGAAACGCGTGTGCCTTCTACTTGCCATTCTCTTCGGACGGCAACATTGTCCAACGTGCATTTTTCTGCGTCTGGGTAGCCATTTTGAGCCACGTTAGACGTAAGCTTCGCGAGTGCTTCAACAGCTAATGCGTCGTTCATTAAAAGGCTGGCACCGACGCCGCCATACAATATTGCCGTTGCCAAGGTGGAGATCTTCATGTTGACGGGAGAGGAACAGAATTGGGTCGTAATGGATATGTTCTAATTCTATATACTTATACATGCGTGCCGTGCCGTTCCCACTGTCTATAGTTCATCATTTCGAATGCAGCTCTCGCCATGGAGGCTACTTCCATGCACGTAGTCCGCATTTTAGCCGTTAGCTACTACGAAGGATGAGCCAAGCAGCAATAAACGACCACTCTCAACGGCGAGCCTAGTGCTTTGGTGGCGTTTTCTCGCGAACTATTCGAGGATGGATAGCGCGTGCGGGTAGTCGGGTACAGGGGAGGTCCCGTCGGTTGGCGTTGCGGGAGAGTAATATACAAACACGAGTTTCTAACGTCATAATGCTTTGCGAACGAACCTCTTCAGACGCTTCTTACGCCATCATCCAGACCAATCCCTCACTGTGCATTTCGTGACCGCACAATCATTAGCGACAATTTTCTGCGTGTCCAGTTTGCTGCGCCGCATGCACGCAGAATGCAAGCCAAGATCTGGGATTGCAGGACGTGGCGCCAATCTGCAGGGGAGGCGGCAAATTTCAATTTCCGGTTGGAAGCGACGAGCGCGTTCGTAGTAGGTATCATGCTCTCAGAACGCGTATCTCGAGGACATCATAGTAGTTCTAGTCTGGAGTACGAACTATAGACTTGTGTGTAGCAGATCGTCGGCTAAGTCGACGCGTCGTGAAGAGGAGCTCGCGGAGCGCCAATGGGGTCTTGGCATCATGTGACACACCTGCCCGAAGTCGTCATCGGAATCCGGCTTCTCTCATTCGACATAGGCACAACCATCACTACACTCGAGGTCGAAAATTAAAAGGGCTCATATGTGATTCGATTGCTGCCAGCAGCCATGCAGATATGACAGCGAAGCTCTACCTAACAAAAGCGCCGCCTCCACTCGCGCCCAGCTGGTTACCCGTCATCCAGCCACTCTCCGGCAGGCACGCGATACCAACGATACCTGCCACCTCTTCGAGCGTACCGGGCCTACCACCAATCTCGCCTGCCAATCTCAACATGTCCTCGCTGTCTACACCAGGTCTCTCCTTCGCCAACGGAATCAAAGCGTTGTACATCTTCAGCGCCTCCCTTGGCGCCTCAGGCAGTCCGTTCAGGAGACCTGTATCCATGGGACCAGGGCTCACGCTGTTGACAGTTGCGCGCTCAGCAAGTTCGCGCGCCCACACACGCGTCATGGCCTCGATGGCTCCCTTGGTGCCAGCATAGGATGTTTGTTGGATCAGACCCCACGTCGTCGTCGCGGATGAGATATTGACGATCCTACCAGACCTATCGTGAGGAAGGTAGGGAAACGCAGCTTTGATAAGCAGCGCAGGAGCTTTGCAATTGATGTTGAACGTCTGGTCCCAGAGTTCTGGATCGAGCTCCTGGATGGGCTGCGCATTCACGACAGCGGCATTGTTGATCAGGATGTCGATCTGGAACGAAGGGGTGGCCGCTGGGTTGCTGAAGTGAGCCTTTGCCGCATTGACAATGGTTTGCGGGGCGGAAGGGTCAAGAAGATCGGCGCGTACGGGGAGCGCGTTGATCTTGTAGGTCGTGGAGAGATGGTTTGCTAAGTCAGTCGCGATCTTATCGGACGCCGATGTTGCGTAGTTGATCACAACGTTAGCTCCGCGCGAGGCGAAGTAGGTGGCAAGTGTGGCGCCGAAGCCTAGTTGCACGTCAGTTACTAATCAAGTGGTACGTCGTTACATCGCGCCATGATCGAGGGGTATGAGCGTATGGCAGAACATACTTCGCGAAGAACCGGTGATAATGGCAAGTTTGCCTTCAAAGACTCTGGGTGCTGACATTCTGGAAATTGCTACGTGCTGAGGTATGTTGAAACCTGGGTAAGAGACCTGTACATGTATCTATGGAAGTAGTCGTGACAACGCCCACCGCTTGCACGGCAGAGGCGTCGCGGGGAACCCTTGACTATGTAAAACATCCAGGATCCGTCGAGGAATGTCTAGCGGTGGAGACCGTTATTTCGTGGTGTGGGTCTCGATATAAATCCTCCGAAGTAGCTCCATCTTGTGCCGACGCATACACCGAGCATTGACAGACCGTATTCCTCACGCCATGTTATGAGGATAGTCATAACTGGCACACATATAGTTGATATCCCCCTTTCGCTCCTTATACTAGATTTCCAAGTTCTGAGTTGATATCAGGTACTTTGGGACCACCTCATCTCTGGTCGAGATCCGAGTATATGGATTCAATACGACACTCCTGCATGCTCCACGCCCCCGCACGCACAGTACGCGGCGATGTACCAATCCTTGTGCAGAAGAAGGTCTTGAAACAGGATTCGCGCGCAGACGTAGCAGGTTATACTACTCCACCGCTTTGCACAAGACCGAGAGTCTGGACTCGAGCTTGGAGATACATCGGCGCATGTGAAGGTGATACGTAAGACTGTCTGCCATCTCTGCAACTATACCGAAGGACACAACAGTAATCACGATAGCTACATAGTTTGGCTAATGCCAACAGTGTCTGAGCGAACAGACCTTCTGAAGCGGACATTACCTTTGCCAGAGCATGCGATCCTTCCCAAGCGTCGTCGTCCCGCGCATCAACAGCTCCCAAGAGCATCGGACATATAACGAACCGGGAACTACTGCAGACGGGTAACAGTGCCGGCCCTAGCAAGCCTGTGCCGCTTCGCCTCCCCGTTACCGTTGTTAATCCTAAACTCGTACGGCTTCATCCGGGCGAACCCTAGATGGTTGGCGCCGAGAGCTTTTGTGGCCTACGGATCGAGCTGCTGGGATGGCAAAGAAAGCTCGTGGACGAGTGCCATACTGTTGGGATCGTGGCGCTCCTTTTTACCAGCCTTTCGTTGCGGTTTCTTATTTTCTTGCATGCCCGGTGCTTGCACTGTGTGGATTGGTGGACTCTATTGTTGCTTTCTTCTTCTTCGTTCTGTTTGACTGTTGCGCTCGAGTGTAGACAGAGTAGACTCGTCGAAAGTCTGATTGACGCCATGGCGCCACCGACTTCTTACCATATGGCCCTATCGGTCTTGGTTCCTTTGCCGTTTGTTATCATTTCGACCATCTTGCGGTTTTGGATTCGTACCAAAAGGAAGGCATGGGGACCAGACGACTGGGCTATGCTCATCAACTTGGTAAGTTTTGCGCATATTGAGACTGGAATACTTACTGACATGAACCCAGCCAGTCTGGACAGTGGCCACAGTCTCCACACTCGGTATGGCTTGGAGTGGCGTTGGACAGTATGATGGCTCGTTGACCGCGTCTCAATACTCCATGTCCTTGAAGGTATGTAACCATCGATCTCCTGTGCCTCTGAGTCGTTTGAGAGGAAATACTGACGAGAAACAGTGGTTCTACGTCTTCCAGGAGCCATGGTGCTTCACTCTCGTCGCGATCAAGTGCAGCATCGGCTTCGCCTTAATCCGCATCGCGAACCGCAAAAAATGGATCGAGATGGTCATCTATACCTGCATGATATCCTGTTTCGTCGTCATGGGCGGGACGGGAATGTATCTCTTCTTCCAATGTAGGCCAGTACAGTATGTCTTCACTCCCTCCCCCTTGATGTCAACCAGCAGCTAACAGACGAACAGGAAGAACTGGTACCCCACGATGGACGGTGAATGCAATGGCCGCAATATCCAAACGGTACTGTCATACGCCGTAGCCGTGGTGTCTATTTCCACAGACTGGATCTTTGCGACCCTCCCCATCTTCCTCCTCTGGGACGTCCAGCTCGATTGGCGCGTTAAGATCTCCGTGATGTCCATGCTCGGCCTAGGAATCTTGTAAGTCATCTGGCCCTTGGAGCCAAACCACCAAGCATCACAACTAACGCATACAACAGCGCATCCATCGCCCCCATCGTCCGCCTCAAGTTCCTCATCGGCCTAAACGACCCAACCCGACTCCTCCAGAACCTCGGCGAAATCCTCGCCTGGGCCTGCGCAGAAATGAACGTCGGCATGTTCGTCGCCAACCTACCCGCCTGCCGCCCTCTACTCACAAACTTCATCTCGCACTTCTCATCCTGGTCAGGAAGCCACTCAAACCCTTCCGGCGGCTACTCGAAGAAGCAAAACCCTCGAGGTTCCATCCGCGCCGGTCCTGGATCAAAGCAATGGATGGAGCTGAACGAGCGTCCTGAGAACCATTCGCATTCGGGTAGCAAGCCCAAGAGCGTGGGCGTGGAAACGAAGATCTATGGCGATCTGGATGAGTACAGTAACACGAGCCTGGAACATGTCGATGGCGATCAGAAGCGTGGTGGACAGCGGCCGAGTGGTGATGGCTTGCAGGTTAGTGTACAAAAGGACTTCAGAGTGGAGATTAGTGACAGGAAGCAGTTGACGGCGTTGCCTAGGGTGCCGTTGGAATCTGTTTGAAATGGCGGTGGTCAGCGTGGTAGTGGTAGATACTGTACATGTCATGTAGATCATGATCGCAACGAGCAGGGCTTCATATATGTTCCTCTTACACTTTTATTAGTACAAAGTTGTTCCAATCTCAATACCCATGCTTTTGCAGCTCCGCCTCAGTATACTCCCACAACTTCTTCCTCAGCCCCTCGTCCCTCGCAAATGAACTGCCAGAACTCTTCTTGCCCACTGGCATGTAATATGCTCCACTCTCTAGCTCGTCCTTTGCGGTCGTAGCACACCAAGTCGTGTTCAACGCGCCTCCTTCCGGACCTTGGTAGTGACCCGGCAGTATCATGCCGATGATGCCGTAGATGTACAGGCCAACCTTCATGAATATGTTCGTGCGGAGGTTGTCGAAGAGATCCGTCAAAATGACACCGGGGTGCAGGGAGACGGATGTTATCGTAGGGTATTCTAGCGCCAGGGAGCGAGCGAAGAGTATGTTCGCCAGCTTCGAGGAGCCGTAGCGGCGCCAGGTGCTCTCCTTCTCGAGCGCTTGCTGGTCGAACTCAATGCCCTTTGATACTGGCATCTGGTGGCCCATACTGCTCAGGTTGACAATTCTGACATCCGAGCCGGGCTGTTTCGCCGTGTCCAGCATCGTCGGGATAAGAAGTTTCGTGAGCAGCGCGTGGCCCATGTGGTTCGTGCCAAATTGTATCTCGTATCCTTCCTTGGTGGTGCTGTATGGGGGCGCCATGATACCAGCATTGTTGATCAAGATATCGAGGCGCGATTCCTGGCTCTTGAACGTCGATGCCGCGTCGACAATGGACGAGAAAGACGTCAGGTCGAGCGGGAGAAATACGATCTCGCAGGCATTTGGCACGCTGTTCTTGATGTCGGTGATGGCATCGCGGGCTTTGGATTCGGTACGAGCGGCGAGGTAGATGCGCGTGGGGTTGTGGGCAGCGAGGTACGCGACGGTCTGTTTGCCTAAGCCGGCGTTGCCTATGCAAGTGTCAGTCGCATGATACGGTCGCTCATGCTCGGGAGTGGGGGTCACTCACCACCGGTGACTAGAATGACCTTGCCATCCAGACTGCCGATGTCCTTAGCAGGGTCGAATGACTTTCCCATGTTGCTGGTCTTTTGGAGTTGCGGATTGTGGATGTCGCAAAGCTGCGTGCGCGCAGTGAGAGGGGGTGAAGACTGTTCGCGATATGGCGCAAGATATAGCAAGTACTCGTCAACGTCGGCGCCAAGTATGTCTCTCGTCGTGGTTGTTGACGCAAGCAGGAGATTGTCGCAATCCCGCGCACATCCTGTTGGCCGTCAAGCCATCGTTAGCTTGCGGTGCGGTCCGTCCACGGGGTTTCGTCGTCGGATGCCGAGGTTGGAAACGCGCTATGACGTCTTCCATTGCATGTGAACGCGTCTCCTGTAACGCTTCGGAAACCGTATTGAAGTCCGGACGCGATGTGCATTCTGTGATACTAGAGGTGGATGGATGCTACGTACGATACAGAATTTGTGGTTGTGAGAAAGTCGTCGAAGTGGCGCTGCCAATTCGCGCTTACGGCTTACTTGCATGAATCCTACCGCATGAGGGAACCAAAGCTGGACGGCACACTGTTCTCAAATGGGGTATCATTATGCTTAATTACAATATATAGCTGAAATTGCTTTTGCGCTTCGCTGATGCGAGCCCCACGCTTTAGGAAGTGTAACACTAAATTCAACGTCTCGGACCGGAGAGCCCTGCTCTAGGATTGTTTCTAAACCTCTCATAAGGATTGTTCGCACGCGCATAGTCCTCATCAAGATCGAGATCATGTATCACTATCGGCTTTCGTTGGGTTGATGTGGGTGCTGTTGTAGCTGTAGCTGGAGGTTGTTTTGCGGGAGCCGTTTTGGCCTTGAATGAAGACAGAAGGTTTTGGCGTTCTTCCTCAAGCTCATCGTCGCTCGTTAGATCGATAACTCCATCGTACTGAGCAGGGGTCGGGCGGGCAACGCTTTTCCGCTTTGTGCCGCTTGGTTGTGACGCTGCGATAGTTGAAGCCGAGGTCGGTATCGTTGGTGACGAAGCTGCGGAAGAAGCCCCTTGTTGAGTTTGACCAAGCTGCCGAGACTGCATCCGTGGAGATGCAGTGGCGATAACGCCTTCCCATTGCGCGTCCGTATGAGTGGGTGCGAATGCTCCTCTGCTTGTCGGATGAGCTTGGGTCATGCTTGAGGGTCGTGATGACGTTGGTGTGCCGTTCTGCAGATTTTGGTCTGTTTGAGGAGCGTGCCGTGAAGTTTTATGAGAGAGTCTAGATGGCTGCATCTGCGCTACCGGCGCAGGGTGGTTCCTAGAGTCAGGCGCACGGGCTTGCTGGATCTGGGGAGGTGTGTGCTCCGGTGTGAAAGGTTTATGAGTAGCGTATAGTTGCGTCACGGGTAAGCGAGACTGGTGATATGCTTGCATAGGTGCGTTCGACAAATTTGGAATATAATAGTCGGGATAGTCGGCTTGAGGAGGCTCAGGCCTAGGGTCGGAGCGCGAAGTATGTATAGGATCGTTTCGAGACCGTCCCGGCGGTGTAGATTGTTCGGCAGCACCTCTCGCTGCCGGCGCAGACCCCGGTACAATTTGATTCCCATATCCGTTTCCTGGTCTCTGCAAAGTTTCGTGCGGTGGTCCTGACGTTGTGCGTGTTGGCCCAGTCTGTGGCGAGTTGGTCAAGGTTGAATTCAGCTGTAACGCTTCGCCTGCACGCCATAGACGTGGCGAAGCAGAAGTTGCGCTGACAGGTGATGGTTGTTGAGAACCAAAATCTGTAAAAATGTTACCCATTATGGGAGATCCTGTCGGTGCCGCAGCTGTGCGCACTCGCTCCGAAGGAGCATTCCTTGCAGTGGCGACTTGTGGTGGTCCGTTGATGTCATATACGGGACTATTGACTTCTGATTGAGCGTTTGATGGCCCGGGATCAGTCCGCTGTCGCTTCGGTGCTGTGGGCATAGGTTGTGTCTCCTCCCTTGCGATGATCGAATCGCGTGGTGGCAGTATGGACAGCGGCTTGTCCAAGGGTGCTACCCTTTTCCTCGAAACGGCGGAAGTAGGAGATGATAGTGTTTTCGTTCTTGAAGTAGACGGCGTCGGCTTTGGAGCCCCTGCCGGTTGGTTACGGTCTATCGTAGTGCCATCCACCGCACCTCGAATTCCCTCCAGGTTTTCTATAAAGTCCCAGGCAAACTTCCACATTGGCGCAGACAATCGAAGGTCCTTAAACTGCTCGCGAAAGGCTTCTCGGAGCGCTCTGATATCGCCTAGCAATAGTTCATTGTTGCGCGTTTCCGAATACATAGAGATAAGGACGGTGACGGCCACCATTTCGATGGGCGCAAAGGTTTGTACACCACTCAAATGCCTGTCGGCATTCGTGAAAGTGTCGGGATCTAAGGCAATAAGGTCTTTGAAGGTGGTCCAGACGCTTGCAAGATGTGACTTGAGCGCATCGTCTACAGCGCCGGTGTTGTTCAGCAACTTTGGGATTAAACTCTGGCTTGTCCTCAGCACTGGAATGCCAGTTGCAGGAGTCGGATGCTGTACTTCCAGAATTTGGCTGAAGCAAGACAGAGTGAGTTGGAAGTCCTTCGCTCGAGCTCGATCCTTCATCAAGTCGTAGATCATAGGGAAGTCTTCCACGAAAAGCTTCGCTAGTTCTTGCCATGGGCCTTGTTTCGCGCGCATCCTCTCAGCTAAAGTGAGCTGCACACCCATTTGGACCCTAGCGAAAAGGTCTTCTTCTTGTACTGGCGTAAGCTCTGCGAACTGAAAGGCCACAAAGTCTTTTTCCAAGAAGGACTTTTGAATGTCCGAAGGAAGCACCTTTTTGCGTTTATTGCTAGGCGTCTCACAGAACCACCTTGCACTTTCAGTGAGCCATTGAGAGATATTAATTGGACCGAATTGCTTACCACTTTTCGCCTTTGTGATCATGGCAAGGAATCATGCCTTTGACGAATGCCCTGACAGAGGAAAGTCGTTGTTTTCCGTCCACGCAGACAAGAACGTCACGTGGTGTACCATCTGTTCCATTAATCCGTTTCTTATTCAGAATAATGGGTGGGATGTAGTAGTTTTCTACGCAAGTGTTAGGAATCTTTGGATTCGTTCATGTTAAGAGAGCCTGGAGTAGATCATACCCATCAGAGAATTAATCAGACCCGTCATACGATCGGCTATTGCTATTAGCATGTCGGCGACAATCAAGTTGGGCGTTTTTACCTGTCCAGACAACCTCACGTTGATATTCCGGGTCGACATCGATCGCACCGCTCTCCAGTTCCTCTGGCCGCTGTCAGTAGAAGATCCTCTCGTCATAGTCGGCCAGTCTTTCACTCACTTATCAGACTTCCCAAGCTTCGCATGTGAACATTGGGCTGTGGCAGCTTTGGTCGCGGTTTGTACTCGTACCCATCGTCGCTGTCGCTTTCTGCGAAGATGTCGTCATTGCCGTCCTCGTCTTTGACAGCAGACTGCACTGCAATGCTGTCGTTGTTTGGTTGTTTGGCAGCGCCGCGATGGGTGTTGCTGACTTCCATGCCCGTGCGGACCCCAGGCATGCTGGGGTGAGCGGTGTCGAATCAGGAAGTAGGTATACTAAGTTGCATTGACTAGGTAGTTTTGGACCAAGCTTATGTCAGCTTGCACTAAGCTCTTTGAACACTAGCTAGACCTAGACTAGCTGCAATTCACTTTCACCTTAACTACTCAAAAGACCTTTAGTTTTCTTAGAAGACAAGTGCAAAGTGCAGAAAAAAGTTGAATTTATATGCAAACATTCTAGCGGCTTGGCTGCAGCACTTGGTCATGGACAATCCTAGTCTAGAAGGTTCTGCATAACTGCAAGCAGACAAGTTAGCAGGCTACATGCATCAGCGAGAAATTGCTGTTGCAAACAACCAATCATCACACTTTGCCCAACGCACTGGTCATTCAACGAGCACTTCACAACATGCGCATCATCCTCCTGCATTAACAATCATGACTCAATGTTTCAATATAGTCGTGATGTATTGTCATAGATGCGACACTATTGTCTGCCAGTTCTCTTTTCCCCATTAGATGCAGATACGCATCGCCCTGTGAGAGCCTGTGATATGGACGGCGAATGCCACCAGGCGGGAAGATACATGAGAAACATAGGCTAAACAGCAGCCTGTATATGTCCATCCATCTGACTTGATGTAGTGCCGGGTCACTCAGTCATCATAGAGTGAGTCATGGTCATCCTCTTGAGCAGCATGGCCAGCGGCAAACTGCTCCTGGAAGTGACCCTCTTGCTCCTCCATCGCGTCGTGCTCTTGCATATCCTGATCTTCCGCTTCCGGCTGTCGTGTAATATCTTGAGCATCCGCCACCTCCTCGTCTTCGGTCAGATCGTCATCCTCTTGGGCACCGTCCCTGTCGGATTCTTCAGCGTCGCCGAGCTCAACGACCTGCATTTCTTTGGCCTTTCTGGAGAGTTTGAGGTTGATTTCGCCCAAGTGCTGCAGCTGCTGAATGTCGAGCATTCCCTTGGAGCCAAGCCCGAGCACCATCATGAAGCCTTGGCAAGCGATCATCTTGGTGTTTTCCGTGGGTGGAAGAAGTTCCTCAAAGGCGATGTCCTCGATATCAGCGGCGGCTTCGGCTTGAAGCACGTCGGACTCGTGCTCTAGGTCTGCTTGAGCCCGCCTGCGCTTCTCAACGATACGTTCCTGGATGAAAGTAATGAAGTTTTCACCTTCTGTTGACAAGGCCTCGCGGACGCGTGCTGATGGTTCTTGAACTGCTGGCTCGGGAAAGTCGGAGCTGAAACCTGGTAGGCCAAAGTCGTCGCCACCGTAATCGACATCGCTCGTAAGGTTCTTGAATCCCTCAAGAGCAACAGGCTGACCGCGACCTTTTGAGGGGGAGGCAGACACGAAGCGGCTTCCGGGTCTGCTCTGATCAGCGGAGCCTATCATACCAGCGCGTCCGCTTCGAGGAACGACTGAAGAGCCTCGGACAGAAGCGCTGATGTTCCATGGCATTGCTGAGAAGATCTGTTGATCGTCAAGTGCGGAGACACCCTCGCGCGGTAGTTCAACGGCGATGTCGTCTTCAACAAACATAGGAATGTCTTCGTTGTCAGCCGAACGACCAATCTCAGGCTCGCCGGTCTTCTGACGCACACGGCGAGATTCTTCCTGAGTTGCATCATCGATACCACTGTCGCGGTCGTGCTTGACTCCGGTAGCCTTGTTGCGACTGAAGCCCATGATCGTCTCGAAGAAGTTGTCACCAATGAACATGTCGAACGGATTGGGAACGTGGCCGCCCAAGACACGTTCACCGATGCCGCCGAGGCCCGCGCCCCAAACGTAGTGCTCGGCATTCTTCTTAGCCTGAGCAGCAGCACGTTTCTGAATTTTCTGCCGAGCTGCTGCTTTCATGTTCTGACGGTAGTTCCTCTGCCAACCAGCCAACTCCTTGTTGGGAAGCTCTATAGCTGCATCGATAGGAAGAGTGCGTGGAACCCGACGACGGCGCATGGGCGCGGTGAACGTATCGGAAGACTCAATGACTTCTGAATGCTGACTAGACTGTTGCGGACCGTCTGATGAAAGTGCTCCGCCTTCGATAGGATCGTCGTCGTAGGTTGGGAAGCCGATGTCTTCTTGATCGCCCGGGAACTGATATATGTCAGTCGTCATTCTGGATGAGGCTGACGGTAGCTGGATCATGTGAAAAGAATGGAAGATGGGAGAACCAAAGACACAAACAAAGATATGGGAAGAGACAGGCAGCAAACGTCTTCTAACGAGGCGGTATACACAACCGCCTGATAGAGACTGGCCGATAGTGGTGAGAGTGTGTGTTGCCATGTCCTGAGCATCGAGTGAGGGAAGGGAAGCCTCACCGCAAGACGGATGGCTGAGATTGCAGTGCAAAAGGACGTGAGAGAAAGCAGCAAAACTCACCTGATCGCCGACCTGCTGTCCATCCTCATGTTCCTTGCGAACTCGCGCACTAGCCCCAGCATCGCTGGACATTTTCGCACCTGCGGTCCTAGCTGGCGTGCTGGGAACTTTTCGCCGTGGTGGCAACTGGATGATCTCGCCATCGTCTGCGATCATGAAGTCTGGGTCTTCAAGCTGGATCGTATCGCCAGCGCCCATGACACTTGGTCCGCCAACACTGCCCACTCCATCGTCGCCTTCGAGTCTGAACTCGGCCGCCATCGCGGGAGATGAAGTAGGCAAGATGAGCCCACCGATGCCATCCGCATGGGAAGAGGACCGTGCTTGCTGGGAGCTGAAGGGTGTGAGCGTCTGGGAGTCGCCGGACCGCGCAATGTCGAGATTGAAATTGTGGTCTAGTCCTGCGAGGAAGTCTGGAGGAGGAAGCGCGAGCTCGGGCAGGAAGGAAGGGTCATCTTCGAGTATGAGCTGCTCAGGCCTAGATAGATCCTGTGAGTAAAGCGATCATGTCATAAAGGTGATGCATGCCTACCTAGCTTTGCCAGCGTCTGGATCGAGTGCGGTATGCTTCACCGTCCGTAGCATCACTAGCAGGGCGTTTCGCGCACTCTCTGCGTCTGAAAGGATATATCCACATTGTTGTAGGTATACACGCGATACACCGTACCTGCATGTGTCAGTAGTCTGTCGCTCGGACAAGGTATGGCAGCGCGGCGTACATCAAATTGCCCTGTAGCCGTAGAGCCATAGGCGCTACAGGATCGACAATGGTCTGACATGCTTTCTGTACATCGACATCGAGAATCTGTTTGCGGCCGATTCGTTTGTGGGTGGTAGCGACGAGCCTGCCACTTCGGTCAGTACAGGGCAGGGGCGACTGGACGTCTTCTAACATACCACACGGTTGCCACACCGTATTTGCGCGACGTGAGCACTACGATTGTTAGTCAAATCGTTCCGAGCTGCAGTCTCGGTTTGGAGCTTACCTTCGTGACTGTAAAACATGCTGTCGGTACTTAATACATGAAACAGATGATCGTACAAGTGTAATGATACAGGAAAAAGATTGCGGCGTCTCGCGAATGACGCGTGATATTATAACAGAAGCGCAGCAGTCGAACGTATGGGGAGGAAAGCGTTCCTGGAGGTGAGCGTCACGATCATGGAAGGGCTTGGCAGCACGCTTCGACGCGTTTCTACGCGTGGTGAGGTGAAGACGGAAAGGGACAGAAAGTACACTTCACCAGTCTAATGCCGTGTCTATTAATGCAAGGTCTTGAAGTCATGCAATCGTTACTTAAGCTCTCAGAGGTATCGTCCCATAGCCTTTCCAGCTAGTACAACGCCGAATGCCATGCATTACCTGCTGCTCCAGTCCCGTTTGCGCTTCAGCATGATCTTGCGCGCGAGATCCAAGGAGATGCCCATAGTGAAGTGTGTCGATTCAGTCTATGAGTCGCCCATCTGCACGTCCTCGTCGACGACGGGAAGAGGAACGGCGCGGTAGAGGAGGATAAGAGCCGAGTGGCTTTGACCTGGAACATGTCAGTCATCGTCAATTCACAGTCACAGTCTGGGATGCTTACCTCCGCCAGACAGGGTTTGTATCCTCTCAGCATCCACCTCAGATACCTTCTCGTCGTTGAACCACCACCATTTACCGTCTTCCTCCTTCCGCTTGCCAGTGTTGGGGTCCTTGGGTCCCTGCTTCTTGACGAAGGACGTGTAGTGGCCACTGTCGGCGCTGGCGCCTTGATGAGTGATGACACCTCTCAGCTCGTAGAGACCGGTCTGGTTTGCGCCTTCATCTGCAGTCATCTTGGAGTCCACAAGAGCGAGGAGCTCCTTCTTGGCAGCAAGGATTGATGCGGCGCGTTCCGCCTCGACCTGGGCGTCGGTCTTGTACTCAACCTCCTCCATCTTGGTGTCCTCAGCCGGCTTGCTGGCGTCCTCCTTCTTTTGTGCAGCTTCCTTCTTCTTCTGTAGAGGCTCCTTGCGAGCAAGAGGGTCGCTGTCGTTCTCCTCGCCAGCTCGCATGCGCTTCTGTCGCTTGCGGGCGCGCTCGACATCCTCCTCTTCTTTGCGGACTTCACGGATCTTGTCCCGGATTGGGACGAGCATCTTCCTCAGGTCGTCTGTGCAAAACTCCAATGCGTCCAGCTCTTCGGGGAAAGTGACCTTGCGCATGATCTTTGCCTTCTTATTGGTATCCTTTCGCCAGTCGAAACGCACGAAATGGATGGGGAGGTGTTTCGGTAGGCGCGCGATCTTGGACGTCTTGGTGTAGATGGCGTTTCGGCCCAGAACCTCTGATCGCTTCTCGATCTGCTCCTTCAAGCCAGCAGCCAGACCGTCCCTGAGGTGGTTCGTCTCTACGTTGATGTGGCAGTTGAGCTTGAAGAAGAGGTCATCGCTGTGAACGGGCTCCTCGCCACCCTCCTTCGCTGCGGGCTCATCGCACTCCATGACTGACTCAAACTTGCCCGCCATGTACTTGTCGATCCAGGATAGCTCCCTCTTCTTGTTCGCATCTGACCCTGTCTCGTTGTCGGTGATCTTGAGCTTTTGTCGGAGCAGCGAGACGATTTGTGACCAAGCCTCCTCGGCATCCTGCTGTG